GAAGAGGCTGATCCCTGGCAGTCTCATCTGGCTGCCTGTCTGGTTGTGCTGGCAGCGTTAGTGCAGCATCATGCTGCTTAGTTGGAGCTGGTGCCGGGCGTTTAGCAGGCTGTGATTCAGTCTGCTGCAGTGCCGTGGCTTTAGTCGGCACCGCAGCTTTAAGCTGTGCTGCGGCTTTCGGCGCCGCTGAAGCTTGAGGCAGCGTCAGGACTGGAAGCGGTGCCGCGGTTTGAAGTGGCACCGCAGTTTGCTTCGGCACCGGCTTTTCTTGCCGTGCCGGCTGCTTGGAGCGCTCCCGGGGCCGCTCAGCTGTAGCGCGCCCCGCTGCCGGGGCGGGGGGGGGGGGTGTTGCCCCGTAGCCTCCTGGGCATGCGTGGCTCAACAGGGGAAACTGCTATACAAAGCTCCGATCTGAGGCTCAGGGCAACCCTTCACCTACAGTGGAGCACCCACGGGGACACTACTCGAAGAAGAACTACAGTTGCAAGCATAGTAAATTGACTACATGGAAAGAGCCAGCATTGATATAGATACTCAGAGTGCTAGGGAACGAGGTGTACAGCTAGTTCGGATTACGAAGCCTAATCCGAACTAGCTACTCCATGCCGCATGTAGCCGTGCGGCACGGGGTTCGAACTAGCCGGCATTTAAAAATGGCGCCGGCCGGCTTCATGCAAATGAAGCCCGGGAAATTCAAATCCCGGGCTTCATTTGCAACTGCGGATGACTACATTACCCCCACTAGTTCGAACTAGCGGGGTAGTGTAGACATACCCCTAGTGAGGAGGGCTTTAAACTAGGTTTGATGGGGATAGGTGACCAAAGCCCACGGGTAAATTAAGAACATGAAGACTTGGGAGATGGGTCGGAAATGGGAGGGAGTGTGGGCTATAATAGCAGAGAAAAAGGAGGGACAAAGCAGAACAAGGAGGTAAGATCAAATCAGTATGGGTATGTCTACACTACAGCACTAATGCGAACTAACTCAATTCGAATTAGTTAATTCGAACTAAGATCATTCGAATTAGTGCATCTAGACTTAAAAACTAATTCAAATTAGCGTTTTGCTAATTCGAACTAGTGCGTCCACACTGATTGGATGCTGGGTCGCATTTAAGGGCAGCTGAAACCAGTTCCAGCAGGGCATCAGCTCAGTAGTTGCTTTGTGTGGCTGCTGTCTGAGGCTCATGCTTAAAGGGACCACCATGGACAGCCGGTTCTCAGCTTTTCTGCTTCCTTGCTTACCTCGCCGAGGGACAGCAAAGCGTTTTTCTCTCTTCCTGCCTGTGTCGGTGCTTCCCATTGGGGACGCCGCTGCAGTTGGCACCATGGTGCCAGAACTCACACTAGGCATGCTGCTCCTGTTTTTGGACTTGCTGCTGCAAGCCTGCCAGCAATGGCTGGAGGCTGCCTTGCACCATCTGGTGCACGTCAGCCCCTTGCCTCTCTCCCTGGCCTCCCTGGGGGTCGTGGAGGAGCGGCAGCAGCACCTGGATGCCAGTGTGCCCCGTCGCATCTGGCGTCTGGACACTAGCAGCGATTGGTGGGACCGCATCGTCCTGGAGCGCTGGGGAGACCAACAGTGGACCCAGAACTTCAGGATGAAGAAGGACACCTTCCTGGAGCTCTGCGAGTGAGGACACTCGCATGAGGCCTGCCATCCCCCTCCAGATGTGTGTGGCCATCACCCTGTGGAAGCTCTCCACGCCGGACAGCTACCGATCCATCGGGAACCCCAGTTTGACATTGTGGGGAGATCCGTCGGAGAAGTGCTCATGCAGGTATGGCACCCACCGGCCACTGGGCCGGAGGGGGGGGGAGGCTGCAAGGAGGGGATGGGCCGCCCAGGGAAAACAGTGGGTCGGGGGGGAGGAGGCAAAAGTGCCCCGCACCGGAGGGGCTGGTCTCTCCCGGCCGTACTACACGCCGCCCAGGAGGGTTGCTCCTGGGAGTGGGGCTCCGGGCACTGCCAAGGCATGAGCACTCCCAGCCACCCGGGCGCCCCACTGATTCGTGCTTTGCTGTGTCTCTCTGCGGGTGGTCAATGCCATCAACCGGGTGCTGCTCCGCAGGGTGGGGGGCCATCGACGGGACGCACATCCCCATCCGTGCCCCGGAACACCAGGCCTCCCAGTATGTCAACCGCAAGCGGTACTTCTCCGTCCACCTACAGGCCATGTGTGACCACCGGGGCCAGTTCACGGACATTAATGTGGGCTGGTCCGGCAAGGCACACGACGCCAGAGTGTTCCGGAACTCCTCCGTGTGCCAGAGGCTGCAGGCCGGGATCTTCTTCCCCGACTGCCACATCAGGGTCGGGGACGGGGACATGCCCGTGTGCCTGGTGGGGGATGCCGCCTACCCCCTACAGCCCTGGCTCATGAAGCCCTACACGGGGCACCTCAACCCCTCCCGCCAGGCCTTCAATGCGAGGCTGACCAGGGCCCGCATCATGATAGAGGGGGCCTTCGGGCGACTGAAAGCCCAGTTTCGATTCCTCCTCACCCATCTCGACCTCGCAGAGCACAACATCCCTCCCGTGGTGGCAGCATGTTCTGTGCTACACAATTTGTGTGAGCGAAAGGGGGAGGCTTTCCTGCCAGCCTGGATGGCTGAGGCTGACCGCATGGCTGGACACCACGGTCAGCCCCGCACCGCCGCCATCCGGGAAGCCCAGCGAAGCCCTGCGGGAGAGCTTCCAGGTGGAGGAGGAGGACTGAACTCTCCCTGCATGCCCCACTGGGGCCTTCTTCCTCCCTCCCCCCCTTCCCCTTTCCTCTCCCTAACCCCCTCTCTTAAGTAATGTGAAATAAAGACACCTGTTTTGGCAAAGAGGTTGCGAGAGGGGAGGGGGAAACCTGAGAGGAGGGAGCTGGAAGGGGGAGGAAGGGGAGGAAGGGAAGGGAAGGGAAGGGAAAGCTCAGGGTTGGGAGTCCCGCTGGCTCTCCCATCTCGCAGCACTGCGGGTGCGGGGGTGTTGGGAGGGGAGTGGGTGTGGAGGGTAGGGCAGGAGGGACGAGGGGTGCGGAGGAAGCCGAAGCGGGAGCAAGGGTGGGAGGAAGAGTGAGAGCTGGGGCAGCTGC